CAGCCATAAAGAGAAATGAAGCACTGATACATGATACAACGTGGAGGAACCTCGAAAACACTATGCTTAGTTTAAGCCAGACAAAAAAGATCACATGATTTTACTTCTGTGAAATACCCAGAATAAGTAAATCCATAGAGATAGAAAACAGTCTGGAGCTGTCAGGAACTTGGAGGAAGAAAGAGTGAAGAATGACTGCTTAACACGTATGGGGTTATCTTTTTGGGGTGGGTTAATGAAAATGTTTTGGAACTTGATAGAAGTGAATGATATTGTGAATGTTCTAAATGTCACTGATCTGTATACTTTAAACTGGTTAATTTTATTATGTGAATTTCACCTCAATAAAAAAAAAGGGGGAGATGCTGAAAGACCCACCAAAAAGGCCTTAGGAGTAAGATAGAAAAAAGCACAGTGACACAGATACAAAGAAAATCAAAACAAGGAATTATAAAACTGAGAATTTCACCCTGGAAACGATGATGGATATGAACATTCTTAGCTCAGAAAAAGGAAGCAGAGTGTACATAATCACCAAAAAAGCAAATGCAAGGATTTTCTCATTGGCAGAGCTCTGGGAATGCTGGTGGAATAGGTGAGACGAGTGATTATCATAAGACTCACTAAGATACTGAAGGGCAAGAAACCTAGAGGGCATAGAGATAGAGAAGAACCCTGCATTTCTGAGAACAAGGGAATTTGACAGAGATATCTCAGAATGGTTTAAAAGTGGATACAGGGAAGACTAGAAAAGAAAAACTATTACCCTGAGGATCAGGACCTACAGTCAGGATATCGTAATAAAAGATAGGAAGACACTGAATACCGAACAGAGACTATTCAAGCTTTAAAACCTACATCTATCTAAGTAATTTGTGAGGAAACCTTGATTATATTACAACTACACATTGTGTATATACTATACAGTAATATACACATACTACAGTACATGTGCATTGGAGCTCTATGAGTTGAACTACAGTGGACAAACTGGAAGATGTGAGGATTCACAAAGCAGTAATCTAACATTTTAATTCTCAGAAAATAGTGTCGAAAGGTTAACCTAATGAATGTATAAAGATATGCATGCAAACGTTTATTGCAGCGCTGATTCTTTTAGCAAAAGAAAAAAATTGAATTAAAGTGAATATCTACCAGAATGGAAAAAGATAATTTATGGTACCTCCATACAATGAGATATTATGAAGACATTTAAAAGGGTGAGGTAGATTTTTACGTATTGGCTTAGAAAGAGGTCCAAAACATAACTAAGTGGGAAAAAAGCATAATGTAGAACAAAATATGCACAAGAGTTTCCATTTTTTGTAAAACCAAAGCAAATGAAAAGTCCCAAGGAACAAGTTCTATAAATGCATATGTTTGTGTTAGCCTAGAATAAAGTCTAGAAGACCACACACACAACTGTCAACAGCGGTTACCTCAGGTGGTAATGATTGACAGACTGTGCTTAAGTTAATATGCCCGCAGAATAGTGCCTGGCACATAGTTAATGCTCATTACACGTTAACCACTATCATTTTCACTTTATATACTTTGACACTGAATTATTATAAAAATTACTTCTGTAATTTAAAAAAAAATGCTTGCAGAATGAGAAAAACATGAAAAGATTAATCTCATTAAGAATCAAGAAAATACAAATTAAAACATCATTTCTACCCATTAGATTGGCAAAAAATAAAACATTTATGATATCCATTTTTTTAAAGGTTGACTGAAGCAGCATTATCATGCACAACTGGTGAAAAATCAATTTGTATTATATTTATAAAGGTTTAAACATGTATATCCTTTGATCCAGCAATTCCACTTCTAGAAATTAATCCTAAAGATATAGTTGCCATATACACAAAGTGATGTGTATAAGAATGCTCACCCAGCAGTGAAAAACTGAAAATAACCCAAATAGCTATCAAGAAATGAAATTAAGACACATGGAATATTATGTAATCATTAAAAAGAACAAGATATAGCTGTATATATCAAATGGTGAATTCTCTAAGATGTTAAGTGAAAAAAAGTAAGTTGTGAATCTGTGCCAGGTAGTTTATTGCTCCTTAGCTCCAAATCTACCCTTTGCCTGTTTTGTGATCCTGGACGTTGTAAGCATTTTTCCTTTGCCCTCTGATATGATTTTAACCTCTACCAGTAGAGGGCGCCGGAGGAACTCTGATGAGGGTAGGCTTCTCCGTGCCTGGGTGCTTGCCTACCACCAAGTTTCAACAGCTCCCCTGTGGGTGTCTTCCCATTGAGTTCCCTCAGCATCCCTGTGAGCAGCTTCCCAGAATCATAGTGGCTTCCTGGTGAGTTTCATCAGCCCTCCAATTCGGCATTCCAGCACATCCAGTTTCCTGCATGCCAGCCCTTCAGTGGGCAGCAACTCAGCAAACTTTGTCATCCAGTGACATAAACCATCACATACTCTCCCATATAGTCCAATTATCAGTCCTGGAGGAAAAGAGGGACTCTTCCAAATTCTTTCCTTCCTTGAATGCTTTGCCTCAACCCTGGAGGTAGTGGCTGTTCCCTATATCGGCTATCAAATTCTTTTAGAGTTCTCTTCACCCCTTAGTTAATTCCCTATTACTAGTTAATAATTCTCTATGTCAAACTTACTCTATTTGATGTGTGGTTTCTGTCTCCTGACTGAGACCCTAGATGGATACAGTGTCTCATTTATGTTTTTAAAAACCTGTGTGTATGTGTATGCACATACCCACCCCCCCACAGCTATGTAAATGTATAGACGATAAGGAATACACCAAATTATTAACAGTGATTATTTCAGGAAAATAAGTGGGATACAAGGATAGGGTAAAAAAAAAAGGATTTTCTCATTTACTCTATATACATCTCTTGTTTTAATTTTTACAATAAACATTAATTCAAGTATTATATAATTAAAACACATCTATAATATTTAAATATATATTAATATATTTTAATATATAATATTAATAAATTTTAAAATACGGCATATATGGTAATTACATATAAAATGCCGATTTCTGGGACTTAAATTATATAATTTAAAACAAATATATATTTTTAATATATAGAGAGAAGGTATATATTTTTTATCTATATGGCATATATATAGACATATATATATATATATATATATCATGCCAATTTCTGGGAATTAACATGGTAGATGGCTGTTTCATGACTGATGTTTGCTCCTGAAAAAATAAGCTATCTAATTATAAATAGAAAAAAGAATAAACTATAAAAAGGCAATGAATAGTATGAAAAGGACAAATTCTAGGTGATGAGGATTTGAGATTATTGCATGATATCAAGAGATGCCAGAAATCATGGCACTGCTCATCATGTCAAGAGTTGCACATGCAGGAAAAATGGTAACAGGAAGATGGACGACTCCAGCTTCATGATATTCAATTTAAATAGAAGTTAGTAGCTACAGTATAAGAGGACACTTATACATTTAAAGCCTGCCTAAGCCACTCCTAAAACCTGGGGGCCTTGAGTAGAAGGGAACCTAATAGATTAAACCCTTAAGTGCCAGCAATTGTCATTCCAATAATTTCCATCTTTATTTCTCAACTTTCACCCTTGCCTAATTGCCTATTTCACAGTAGCCATAGCAAAATCTACTGCTACAGTCAGAACTGTAAAGTCAGCATTCCCTAACTCCTAATTTAGCAAGGAAGCCTAAGATATAAAATTTTCTTGAAACTAAAGTGTTTTGTGACCAAATGGAGGAACTGAACTTGCAGTAGCGAAGTAGATACATGTGTCATTTATATACAGTATAGATAACTGAACCTGTGATAAGTATAAAGAGCCTTAGACTTAAGACATGGAAACTTTGGTGTGGTTAAAAAAAAAAAATCATGGCCCTGCCACTATCTAGTAATTCTTTTTTTTGTACTTAATCAGTTAGGCAGGCAGGTTTTAGAGTCAGATCTCTTGGGATCAAATCCCAGCTATACCACATATTAGAAAGTTAATCGCTCAGCCTGTTTCCTTATTTGTAAAAAGGGAACAATAGTACCTACAGCCCAGGTTTTTGAAGAATACATATAAGACATGCACAGCACCTGGTGCTTACTAAGGTCGCAATACTTGTCACGTTCACCTTTCCGAGTCTCTGTTATTTTTGTGTTTTTGATTTTGTTTCGTTTGTTTCGTTTTTACCTAAAAAATGAGAGGTCCCCACTAGATTATCTCAAAAGTCCCAAACCTGCCTTACCAGTCTGTAAGTCTACACGATCAGGATGGGTTTCTTAGGCGGTGGCGGGCTGGGAGGATGTAGAGAAAAGAGTCTAACATAAAAGTCAACGAAAGAAAAGTTTTCAGAAAGGTGGCAGATAAATCAGTAGAAACTGTCTTAGGGGAGTATACTTTAGAGAATGTGTCGGAGGAGTCAAAGTGTCAGGTATCCTGTAAAGGAAAAGGTAAGAAAAGATGCTCCTTTCTCAAAACTAGAGGATGTGAGGGGTAATCCTGCAGTGACTTAGAGGTCGAATCTGTTGATCTGTTAGTCCAAAGCTTTGAGTAGAAAGGCAGTCCCAGTTAAAGGAGCCTAGGAAAAGTCCCATTACCAGCCTCGTCTTAAAGGGCCAGACAGCACTTCTGCACTCACCGGGTAATTTGCGTGCCGAGTGAGGCAGAAAGTGTGGCTAGGTTGGTGATCATATGACAGCTCTCTTCCAGGCTTTGCTTTACTGCCTCACTCGGAATGAACTCCTAGGGCATCCTGTAAGGTGGGTTATCCTACTCTTCCCATTCCCCTTTCAACGCCCCGTCTGCACTCTCCCTTCCCCTTCCAGTTGGTCTCACCTCGCCGCCCGGTCCCCATCCCTCCCTCACTCCCTCCCTCTCCCCATTTATCCGGACCCTCGCAAACTCCCACCCTCTCTTTCTTTCCCATCGTTTCCTATTTCCCATTTTCTACGGTCGTAGCCCCCCCTCTTTCCTTTACCACCCCGTACACGCTGCTTTCCCGCGCTCACCTTGCTCCAGCCGACCGCGGCTCGCCGACCCACGCAGGACTGAAGGCAGAATTGCGAGCGCCCCAGAGGCCCCGCCCAACGCGCGTGGACGTCCCGATTCTCCCGCCCCCTGAAGGCGCAGCCCGAGAGCGATTGGTCCCCAGGTTGCGCCTCCCAGGACTGGCAGCTCTTTCCACCCAACCGACGTGTCCAGCCTGCCAAGGTCCGGACAAGCCTCGTTGTTCCTCTTCCAACCTTTCAGTCTGTTCTGCGGGCGACGGTTTTAGTACGGTCTTGTTTCCTTGCGAGGAGAGCTGCACCCAGATTTCCTTTACATAGGAGACGAATCAGAATTAGAAAGCCTGCCCTTTCTCTCCAAATTGTCTCCATGTTCATGTGTGTTGGCCCAACTTTTAAAGAAGTCCAACAAACTGATTCATAGCCATGGACTGAGCTCCATGATGATAATAGTAGCTAACACTCCAAACTTACTGTGCCACAGACACTATTATAGACGCTTTATAAGAATTAGCTAATTTCTCTGTAAGGTAGATGCATATTATCTCCATTTTACAAATGAGGAAACTAAGTTACAGGGAGGTTAAGTATCTTGCCCATGATCAGCTTAATAAGTGAACTAAAACTAGAACACAGGTGGTCGGATTTCCAGCTTTATTTCTCAACTTTCACCCTTGCCTATTCCACAGTAGCCATAGCAAAATCTACTGCTACAGTCAGAACTGTAAAGTTAGCATTCCCTAACTCCTAATTTAGCAGGGAAGCCTAAAATATAAAATTTTCTTGAAACTAAAGTGTTTTATGACCAAATGGAGGAACTGAACTTGCGGTAGCGAAGTAGATACATGCGCCATTTATATACAGTATAGATAACTGAACTTGTGATAAGTATAAAGAGCCTTAGACTTAAGACATGGAAACTTTGGTGTGGTTAAAAAAAAAAAAATCATGGCCCTGCCACTATCTAGTAATTCTTTTTTTTGTACTTAATCAGTTAGGCAGGCAGGTTTTAGAGTCAGATCTCTTGGGATCAAATCCCAGCTATACCACATATTAGAAAGTTAATCGCTCAGCCTGTTTCCTTATTTGTAAAAAGGGAACAATAGTACCTACAGCCCAGGTTTTTGATGAATACATATAAGACATGCACAGCACCTGGTGCTTACTAAGGTCACAATACATGTCACATTCACCATGATTCCATTACTCATCATAACACATGTATACCACATTACATCATATAATTTATAGAGTGACTACCAGGAACAAAAATGTTAAGAATTTATTTGATTGAATTTATTACCATATTATGGTAATATTTATTATTTCAAATCTAAGTTCAGGTAAGGTCCATGGTCAATTTCTAATATTGTTCAGTAAGTTTTCACTTTTAGGATACAGTGAACAGACTAAATTTAAGATTTTCTATTAAAGATCTTGGTAAGTTGATTGTAGAGCAGGAGCTCAACTAACTTTGCCAACAAAAAGGTAATTTGAATAAGGAATAGTAAAGAAATGAACCAGTCTCACAGTGGCCTATTTAAACCCTAAACTCTTTTTCACTTAGGGACTGGAAAGTGATGGTCCCTTCAGGGAAGTGGTGACATGAAAAGGCAAAGGAATACATAGTGGTTCAGATTAATACAGAGCAACGAGACTGTATCAATATGTTATGCTAAGTAGCTGGAGGTGAGGACTTCAGCAGTGAATAAAAAATGTATTTTCTCTTTCATACTTCAAATTATACCAGTAAGGAACTCTATAGGATGTGTTAGGAGAACTAGTTCCTTCCTTTCTTCTCCCAGGCTTCATACTTAACTCTGCCCCTGTTGGGAAACTCACTTCCCAAACTTTGCTGCAACTTAGTTCATGCTTTACCAAGTAATTTCTTTGGTGGGCCTCCATCCTAAAAGTTGAGTTAGGTATCCTCAGGGCTCTTTACTTCTGAGGCAGAGAGGATAGAAATTCAGGCTTAATGTCTAGTATAATTGATTGGGTAAAAATTGTCCTTCCTTCAGATTCTGGATGCTAATGGCCTTCATTATGGAGCTTTAGCAAACAGTCAATTTTAGCTCTGAAAGAAGAGAGTAAGAAACACTCTTGTATTTTTTTCATTTTGGCATAATATGTATGAGTGATCTGACTATGACTCGTGAACAAAAGTTGGTTATTTTTATACTATTCTTTACTACATTTGGCCTTAATGATGACACAGAGCCACAATAGGAACAAAAGAATTAAAAAAAAAAAAAAAAGACCAGGTCCAGATTGTACAGCTCAGAATTCTCACAATGGACCAAAAGGACTAAACTGGAGAACTAGATTGCCTTCCCTGATGTTAACCTACAGATTCAACAGGAGAGCATCTTGTAACATCCCCTGCATGGAGCCAGGATTGAGAACATAATACCTCTATTGTGACTGTCACTTATTTGCTGTTGGTTCCAAATCTATGTCTCCAACTCTGATTTCCTATCCTGAACTTTAAACTCCAGCTGCCTTCTTCATCTCTACCTGGATGCCCAGGGTATCCCACAGCATCTCCAACCCAGAGTGTCCAAAATGGGGGAATTCCCTAGTGGTCCAGTGGTTAGGACTCTGTGCTTCTGGGGGTGCGGGGGGTGCAGATGGAACTAATATCCCACATGCCGTACAGCACGACCAAAAAAAAAAAACAAACAAACACAAAATGGAATTAGCCTATCTCCTCCCTTACCCCCACCCCAGAACTATTTCAGTAAATGAATAGCAGCCCCCCCCCTTAGACTCAAGCCAGATTTAGAGAACATTCCAGATCCCTTCCTCTCCTCATCTTCCCTTCTCACTCCTCTAATTAGTAGTAGCCAATCTCTTGTATCCACCCCGTGGGGGCATCGTAACTTCCTGGGCGAGGTGGCCGCAGTCAGTGGTGGGTAATTCTCTGGAGAAAGAGGCAGCTGTGAGCCATCAGCATCCACAGTCACTGCCGGGGCTGGGGGGCTCCAGCCCGGTGCAAGGAGATCTGGGCAGGGCACCCCAGTGTCTACCACAGCCCTCATCACCACTTGAACTACTGCAGTAGCCTTCTCGTTAGAAACTCTACCTCTAGACTCAACCATCTCTTCTTATTCGGGATCCACATGGCAACCAAGAATGATCTTTCCGAAAAGAAACTGATCATGCAACTATTCAAAATTATAGAGAAAAAAGCTAAACTCCTTAACTTTTCACATCAACCCTTCATGATAAGACCTTACACCACCTTCCTAGCCTTATTTCCAAGAAATCTGTTCACCCACCTACACTTCATGACGATCTCACACTCACACACACATACACACGCGCAAGTTTCACACTGACCTCTGCTCTAGCAATATCAAAGGCAAACCCTTCAAACTCTCTCATGTTGCCATGCTTTTACACTGCGGCTCAATCTGCCTACAATGTCTTTCTTACCCCTGTTCCCACTTATCTACCTGAGAAATTCCTGTTCCTTCAACTGTAAGTGCAGCATCACCTATAAAGCCTTCCCTGGTTTCTTTAGACCTACTCAATGCTCTCATGGTACCAAATGACAGCACATGGCACACTGCGTTGTAATTGTGTACTTAAGCACATGTCTCTCCAATTAAACACTAAGCTACTCATTTAGTCTCCTGGAACCAGCATGGAGTTAATGCTCAATAAATGTCAGCTGTTGATCTTCCAGCTCTAGCACCTGTGGAATAACAGGTTCCACTAGTTTACCACTCACCGTTTCATGTGATCCTCTCTTACATGCCCCCAAAATGCCTTTTTGAAGCTCCAGGACATATTCCCTTCCTTTAATATTGTAGAACTTGGTAAACAAGTCCATGTTCACTTGTGATTTTACTAACTTCAGCATTATTCCTCCTGAGTCTTCTGCAGTTCTAACTAATATGATAATTTATATTTGAGCTGAGTAAGCTTTAAAAGCTGAGTAAGATTTCTATAAATGAGGAATAAGACAGTGTCCCTCCAGACTTAGGAAATAGCATGGATGTGGGTGGAAGGATGAAAGCACCAGTGAGTCAGAGCACTAACCAGCAGTCTCAGGAGGACAGAGGGATGTGGTAGGAGAAGAGACACGAGACCCCTGAATGTGGAACCTTGAAGGCCTCGCTGATTGAGATGGAGGGCACACGTGTGGAGTTAGAGTGTGTGTAAGTCCTGGCTCTACCACATCCCAGCTGGGTGATCTTAGGTAAGCATCTTAACCTCTCTGAGCATCACTTTCCTCATTTGTAAAATGAGAATGCTATGAAACTTAAATAAATAAAATAAAAAGACCTCTTAAAATGTGCTGACTGGACGCTAGTGGGGAGATAGCTGGCAGAACGGAAAGGGAAGAAAACCATTTCTAAGGAAGGGGGAGGCCTGGATGGGGTCTGGGAGGACTCCCATCCCAGACCTTGGTGGCCCAGCATATGCAGATGGAAAAAGAAAGATGGAAGTGACTTCCTGGTCAGGCTGAAACATCCCAGAACGACTCAGGAGGCGCAGTAGACAGGCTCAGCTATTGCCCAAGCCAGTTAACTTCCTGGGAGAGGTTGCCCAATTGGGCTGAGAAATAGGAAAATAGTAGGTCTTCCTAGGGTGAGAATTGGGTTGGGGGAGACCACCAAGTGGTTCTGATTCCACACATGGCACAGAGTCGCTTGCCTGAGAGTTGACAGCACGTGCAGATAGCAGAGAAGCAGCACCAGCTGCAAGAGCATTCACACCTGTGCTGAGATCAACACACTTGGTCTCAGTGGGTGGTGGGACTGGAGCAGAGGAATTTCTGGGCAACTGCAGGGCTCATCCCCCCAAGGTAATCGAGGAGCCCATGGGGCAACCCACCAACACCTGAAAAACAGGAGGCTCCTCAAAACAAGGCTGTTGAGGAATAACACTTATGTTCAATCTTTGTGTTTCCAAGTAGAGAGACGTCAGCTAAATGAGGTTCCCTCCCTCACTCCTACTTGGGTATTTGTGTTTGGGATGTGCTGGGAGGAGACTTGTGTGAGTGGTGAGTTTGGGAGAAGGGACACAGCATATGAGGTTCAGCCTCTCACTT